TAACGATTTTAATTTAGGGACCGGGTTTTTGTGAGAATTTGACGTTGACAGGAATATTGTGTTTAATGGTTAGTTTAGTCCAAGTGTGGATAATTCTTGAGCTGGTTTCAGGAACAAAAGGTAAACTACAGTGTAATGTACTGTTGTTGGGTTTGTTAGTGTCAATTTTGTTCGTGAGTTGAGTTTTATTGTGGCTAATGTTGGAGAGGTTTTCAACTCTAGCTGGTGGAAATGTATTGGTGTGAATAAAGGAATGCTTTATGTGGTTAATTTCTTCATTTATGTAGTCCGTTGAACAGAGTCTTGTGGCTGTGTTTATGAGGTTTTTAAGTGTATTGAATTTTTGTGTGGTGTCATGAGCGGAATTCCAGGGGATGTAGAGACCAGTGTGTGTGTTTTTGCGGTGAATTTTTGTTTTAAACTAAGTGTCAGATCTAGTAATTTTGAGGTTAAGAAAGGATAACTGTTTATTGTTTTCGTGTTCTATGGTAAATTTGATGTTGGGGTGAATGGAATTTATGTGTTTAAAGAAAGTTAGTGTGTGTTCTGTAGAGGTGAAACCAGCAAAAGTGCCATCGACATATCTGTACCAGTACAGTGGGGGATGAAGCGCAGAATGTATGGCTTGTGTTTCGATCTGGGTCATGAATATATTGGCAAGAACGGGCGAAACAGGAGTGTCCATACTTAAACCATCTATTTGAAGGAAATGTTCGTTGTTGAAAATGAAGTTGGTTTTAGTCGTTGTAAATTCTAAGAGAGAAGCAAAAAATGTGCTGGGGATTTGCATTAACTTGTTGGGGTCATTAATGTAGAGGTTGAGTGCAGTATTCACCGAAGTCCCCGCCAATGAAGCTTGGTCTGTATTTAGTTAAAATTGTTTTATCGATAAAAACGGATGAACCCTGGCGTTAAACGGATGTTGTGTTTGGTGATAGAAACAAATAGAACGTTGAACATATGTGCTTCTTGAGTGAATGAATATCTAGTCAATAACAGGTTTCACAACTGATAAAACAAATTCAAAGATAATAATAGTGTTTGGAACAAATTGTCTTTCCTGTAAACAACTGTCTAGCGCACAAAACACATTATTGAACAAAATATTTCTGCTGTGTATCTATGTTTTATTTTATAAATGTAATGGTATGGCGGATGAAATAGCGTACAATGATAAATAACCTGAACATATACGCAAAAGAAGGCTGAGTTTTAGCAATAAAGAACAATGTACTTTGAGTATTTTAGCTGATACATGTTTTTGTTACTTGTTCAAATCAAATTTACAAAATTAAACTTTTTTTGCCTAAACTCTATCTTTTTCTTTCAAATTTCCACTTGATTGTGACATTTGTATATATTTCCAATATTTTTCCTTTTGCTTGTAGATATAACTTCACTTTAGTCGTCAAGAAAGGCAGTAGAACAGCTGCTGCGAGTGTTGCTGTCAAAGTGGTTGGTGACAAGAATGTTCCATTCCTTGCATTTGATGATATTACTATCCGCGGTAAACAATTGGATCCAACTCTAGGTTTTTTTGTCAACTTTTTGATCGATCCAAAAATACCTTATGTGGAAATAAATTGCATAAACAAATTAGGTGAGAAATAAAACATAATCGTTTTGGGAAGTGAGTGAAATTGAAAAGTTTATTTTGAGATGAATATTAATTGATAATTATGTTCTATCATATGGTTTATTTTATGTGCTGCCTTTTGAATGCCTGAATTTGTAAGCCTACATGTCGGGTATGTTCACTTCTTTCTCTTACCTAAGAAACATGCTTCTATAATACAAAAACACCATGTATTTCAGTACATCCTTACATCTTACCTGAGAAGCTTCAACACAGCATCTAACTTAACATTTTATTTTAGACACAAACGTGTATCCTCAACTGGTTTGTTATATTGTATAGCCAGCACTCTTAACACCTTTAATATAAAAGTAGTTAAAATAATCAAATAGCTCTGAAAAGCTAAATTTGCTATATTTCAATAACATTATTGTGTACTAGCGATGGTTCAGTCTGACAACACAGAATTGCTTTATGAGATATAATGTAGGTGCAGTAAGTTTCTCCGGCTTGAGGGGTAAAATAGAAAAGTAATTAGGTAAACTGAAAGAGTTTGGATGGAGGAGAATAAAGAAAAACACTTTAGAACAATAGTTTACTGTGTACATATGTAAAGTTACGACTGATTCAATAAAAAACACCTCCTGTCATTGCGACTAGAGACTACACTTTTCAAATAGGTCGAAAATATCGTTATCAGCAATGGTGACCAAAAAATGAGCCAATTCATTCTAACTTTTGTAAGTAAAAACATAAAAGTACATTTACTTTGATATATTCACTACCAGGTTAATTTTTAGTTTTGTTCTAAGTAGGTAACTTGCTCTAATCGGAAATTAATATTCATCAAAATATCCAAATATATTAAAAAAATATATAAATTTTCTCAAACAAAACACTTGCTTATGCCGACCTAACTATTCATTGTAAAGAAAGAAACTTTTGTATCATCACAGGTAGGTAAATCGGGAATAGTTTGTGATTTTATTGTTCTCATAAAAACTCAAGACTTCAATAATTCTTTCATAAGAACACCTAGTTCCTCTGATAACCAACTTGAAATTTATTTGTTCCGGAAATTTTACGCAAAGCTACATGGAGGACTATTTGTGCATAGTCCTACCTAATTATGAAATGGTAGACCAGAGGGAAGACAGCTATTCAAGAGTACCCACCGTTCCACAGTACAGAATGGTAGACCAGAGGGAAGACAGCTATTCAAGAGTACCCACCGTTCCAAAGTACAGAATGGTAGACCAGAGGGAAGACAGCTATTCAAGAGTACCCACCGTTCCAAAGTACAGAATGGTAGACCAGAGGGAAGACAGCTATTCAAGAGTACCCACCGTTCCAAAGTACAGAACGCGAAACGCTGCTGCAAAAACGTAAACTACGACTTTTCGGATTTACTGTTTTAGTTAGAGTTTATATTTTTCATTTGTGTAACATTATGTGTAAATGAACACTAAATTTATTATGAGACATTTTAACATAGATTTTGAAACAATGTTACAGTAAAATGTTATGCATTATCTATCTTTTACACGTACACAAATAACATCAAACTATAATATATATTTTGTCAGTAACAAGTGGTGTTCCATCTCAAATGTAGCATATTTTAAATAAGTACACTCGAAGCCTGACTAAAGATCAAAGGTTAGATAATTATACGTCTAGTTTAACCTTTTATGATAAACTTGAGAGAAAAGACAAGTGAACATTTAAGAAAGTTGCTAAAACATAGACGAGTTACAATCTGATATGTATCTTGACGTACTTGAAAATTCATTTACATCAACAGTGTCAATATAGTTGGTCTTGCTAAGGAAGATATATAAATCTTGAAAGATCAGACAACAGATTAATGCTGATGTTTATTGTAAATATAAAAATTGAGAAACTTTTTCCTCTGTAGAGGTGATATGTGCAAGCACAGGTTTCTCTTTTTAAGGATGTGATGGTCCTGAAAAGGACCTTTAAGTTTCATTCGTTTAAAGAAAATCATTTTCTTCAGATAAAATATATCCCTCGTCTTCACTATCATCAGGATGAATCCTCATTTGAAACACATTATGTCTGTTATGTATAATTTCAAGGGCCCAGTGTTGTAATATTTGTGGAACATCAAAATTTCCAATCAAATGGCTGTGTAAATAACACACATCTCCATAAACAAAACAAATAGGACACTCACCAAAATCACATGATAGTACATTTTGAACATTTTAAACCGCAACGTATACTATAAACATATAGTATAAACACATACTTATACTATAAACACATGGGAACAAATTGAAATCTGTGTGCTGTCCTACAAAAGTATAGTAACACAATTCGCATTTGTAAAACACATACTATATGCATAGTAAGACCATCCGCCTTTGTGAAGTAAAAAACTATAAATTAACATGTGTAAAATGAAATATTGTGTCAAGAACAATAAAAATCATAATTATATGGTTAGAGGATTAACATATTTAAACCATAAAGCCAAACTAGTGAAACAGTAAGACTGTCGTTTAAATAATTGTTTTACTTGCAATTTTTACGATACATAATTAAATCTAGACATTAATGATGTAATCACAGGTTAAAACACCCTATGATGAGCTCATTATTTTTTTATTTCTCAATTTAAAGAAACACTATCTGCCCTAGCAGCACTAACCATAGTAACACAATTTGCCAAGTAATATCATCCGTCTATAGATTATAGTATCACAATCCACCTAGTAACACCATCCACCTTTGTAATATAAATAAGTTTATAAATGAAGACTACAATAAAATGAAATAAGTTGTCAAGAAACGTTTTATTATTATACCAAACATATAAAAATATAAGTAATATATTTACATCTTTAAGATATGTAATTACATTTAAACATTTATGACAAGTTTAGACACCTTACGATGAGCTCATCATCCTCCGTCTATAGAAACACCATCTGCCTTTTCAAAATGTATTTGATGTTTTACTTATAAAGTAAAACTGTAAACACAACGTTATGAAATTAGAATAAATTATTAGTTTTAAATATTTCATTGCTACTATAAGATTAATATCACCCTCTGGTGGTTGTTTGCTCGCGAAATATCTGCGCTCTCATCATACCAAAGCGCCCTTGGGTGCCAGTTTGTGAACCTAGCAACAAACCCTCTCGCGGTATGACGACTTCCGCCTATCATGGCAGCCTAACAATGCGTCCTCTGGAAAACAGTAGTTAAACTATAGCGCCACCTTTCTCTACTGGTTTTATTATAAAATGTTGTCCGATTTAAGGTTCTTAATATTTGTATTTTTAATTTGAGGTTATTATGAATTTTGTGCTTGCTTCGTAGCTTGGATAATGTATCTTTTCAACATTAGTAGTTATCGAGAGTGCCCTGTGTCCAAAGGACGCTACCTCGGGGGGGGGGGGCAAGTGAGAGGAGATCAAAGGATGCCGCCGCCTCGTGGTTACGAAACTGCTGCGTGATAGACAAAGGATGTCGACACCTGAGGGTTACAAAGTGTTATGTAATGAACACCAGACGGCGATGACGTTCGAGTTATTAAAATATTTTGCTCAAAAACAATTTTAATAAACTGGTGTGAATGTGCTTAAAATGAAAATGATTATTCTATTCAATTTCAGGCAGCGAGCCTGTTTAGTTCTATCTTAAAACACCTATTTATCTATTGTGAAGTTAGGAAATAATTTAAGAAGGTTCTTAAGAAACCTTTCACGAAACGCTCTTAGGAATGAGACCTTAAGAACTTCTTTCCTGTAAGATCCTTTTGTGAAGCTGTCCATAAATTATTGAGACATGTAGTGATAGACTAAGGCAACTACCAGTAACCCATTACGTTGACTATAACATCAAAAGTTATCGCCATTCGAATACGTTTCATAACAATACAGAAACTCAAGAATTCCAGCTATCCTGTTTTTTATCAGAGTCATGGCTACCAAAATGCTATCCGATTAAGTTAATCGTCATATAATTTCTTACATCAAGCCCCCCACCCCTCGATGGCTCAACGATGAGTCTGCAGGCTTACGACGCTAAAATTTCGATTTCCATACCTCTGTACTTTGCGCTTAACAACAACGAAATCTTACATCAGATATATGTTTTTATTCCATTTTGTTTTCTTAAAAATTGCTGTTTGTTTTAAAATATGCAAAGCTACACATGGGCTATCTCTTATAGCTATCCCTAATTTTGAGCCAATAGACTAGAAGGAAAATAGCTAGTCAACAACACCCACCGTAAATTCTAGGGCTGCTTTTGTTTGACCGAATATTGAGAAAGTTAATGAAAAAGGTTCATTGGCTCTTAACAATATTCTCTGTGGTACATAGTGTTCTACAGAAAGTTCTGGAATCTCTAGAAACGGCTTTAAATTCATTTAGTTCCTTCCTGTTCTAAGTAAGTAATTAATCTAGCCAGACATTGTTTATCCGTAAATAACTTTGAATTCGACAATAAATATTACAACTGTCACATTGTCCTAGGTGCCAGATAATTCCTAGCTTCGTAAGTATAAGGCGAACACCAACCCCTGGAAAGAAGCTTCGTGAAAAACTTTGATTTGTAAAAGATTCACTGATGACGCATTTATTCAGACATTCGATACTCGATCCTTTCAAGATGTTCTTTTCGTACTAGTTAACTCTTGCTATATGACGTCAGAACTCTTAGTTGACTACCCTTTCTCGTACGTTCACACTTGTATAAACGTTTTAGATATCATTGTTCTTCCTTCTGATACATACATAAAACAAACAGTTCATGATTATTTCACCAGTAAAGCTGCCCATATTAAATAAAATATCACCTATAATCAAGACACGTGATATAAAAAATATTTGCCACTAAAAACAGAAACATAAATACTTATACAAGTATGATAAAAATAAGCTACAAAAAAACTGAAATTTATTTTTAGAAATGGATTAGTGTAACAGCACTCGTAGGAAAATGTAAAAAAATCCAACTGGAGTCCTATTTCAGTTAACTATCATCCAAACTCGAGAAATTAACGTTAGAGAGTGATAAATGGGTTAATGAATGATTAAATTAAATTACAAAACGTTTACTTTTGTTATTAATTACTGCTACCTCTGACCTTTGTATGGGAGCTTTCAAGAACAACTTAAAATTTTACATAGTTTTAAGGGTTTTAACTAGGCAACAATTAAAACAAGGTTCATCATTTGTTACTGAAAATTAGTTTCAACTTCAAATGGTTTTATTGTCTTGAAATTTTTACATGTTCTACAGTAATTCCTGTACGATGAATCCGAAAACGATACCCATAACGCAATATATAAAAGAAAGACCACAACACGTGGTTTTCAGACTAAAGGGCGTAGATTTTACATATAGAAATCAGGATGAATAAGGATGCATATGCGTTTTACATCAATGTTCTTCCCTTTTCTTCAGTTTGTTTGTATTTCTTTTACCAAACATAACAATAAAAAATGTTCATTGTGGTAAACGAAATAATAATTTGATCTGAGTAAGAGTTTTTTTAATTCCAGATTTGTAAAATATCCTTACGTGATAGAAAAAATTCGTAACTGAATTATGGAAAATCCGTTATTAAAACCAAAACAAATTTTATGAAGTTTAAATTCGCAGGCCTGTGTTATTTATTTGAACACAATAATATAAATAAGAAAACATATTTGGGATAAGAGCTTTAATTTTATTACAACTCATTATTTTACAAACATTCTAAATATAAATAAAACTGTGGTTTTACTTTTATGTAAAGTCAAAATTTCTGAGGAGATGTTTAATGCACACATTGCAGAAAAAGAAAAAATGGACTATCGTCGTACATTACCCCTACTGTAGTTAAAACAAAATTAGATAATTGAATGATGGTAGTTTTCGTGGTTTTCCCATTTCTGTTTTAAGATTATATATTTTTTACGTCTATCATATGATGTTGAACTTCACTTGATAAGGTACTACTCATGTGTTTAGTAGTGCAGTTTCTAATGTTTAATTAGGTTTTGACCCTCTCTGATGACTTAGTGTTTATAACGCTAAAATTAGTTTTGCAGTGTGAAGAACACAGATAATCCATTGTGTAGCTTTGTCCTTAACAACAAACAAAGAAACATTGGGTTTACTCTAGTCTTGTCTGAAATGGCTTTGTGTTTCCTCAATGAGTCACTTACTGCATCCACCTTGCGTGAGGTGGTGTAAACATTATTTGAACACTCTTAAACTGATCTCTGGTATCAACTTAGAACACTAACAATTGGACAAGCTAAAAGTATTCCAACTACATGAATGATGTCTGAAGAAGACTAGATTACCAGGATGTAAAATAGGGTAAGTAATTAACACAAAATTTGAGATATAAAGTGACCCAAAGTTGTAAAACTGTAAGAATACGACGATGATGCCTGGTATTGAAGGAATAATAATGGGAACAATGTAAAAAGGATGTGGCTAATAGTTTGGTAATGGTGTCATAGCCTCTATAGACGGAAAAATCTGTTACACCAGTTTTAAACCCAGTGAATAACCGGCCAGAGATCGTTTAAAAGAATCAAGCCCTTTTAGAAGAATCTGAAAGCATTATTTTGTAGACGGAAAAGGAATGAGAGGACAAGCGAAACGCTTTCTGAGATGAAAAATGAGTCATATGTGAAAGCTGCGAAATGTGGCTGAATCGTAAACAGTGAAGATATTTTTTATGAGATGATGTAGCAAGAATTGTTCAGCATGTCCAGGCAATCAAATCAAATCAAATCATGTAGCTCAATATTTTAAAAATCTGATATAGGAAATCTGGCCAGCATCTACCATGATTTAGTTTGATCAAGCTGTAAAAACTAAAGTTTTGTGTAGAGCCTTGAATCATTGAGACATAAGACTGAAAAAAAAACATAAGAAAAACGACTTCATTCTTTGAAAACTGTACTTAATAATAATTTTGTAAGTTCTTATGACTATATGAATTACAGACCCCATCAGTGGCTCTAGTCTATCACTGCTAAATTAGGGAAGGTTAGCGCATATAGCTTTCAAATGGCGGAGTTCAACAAGTAAACAAACTGTATACTTTGTTATGCACTACTTAAGATCAATGTTAGTTATGTTTTTTCATGTGGTTTCCATATAATACATCAGATTATATATGCATTTTTGTGTGTCACTCAAAACCACTTTTAGGCAGATTTATTATGGTTTTTAATTGTACAGTACATGCAGTTTGTAAAATCAGTAAGGCATTCGTTTTCCATTATTAGGCAATGTACTACAGTAAAGTATTACACCGTGAATTTTATTTATTTGAAGCTTAGTTTGCAAGAAACAAATTATTATCGGACATTTAAATAACAACTGATTTTATCATATGTAATTAAGTACCCTGCATGGTGTTAGTTTGTTTCATTAAAAGATTACACATAAGAATAGAACTATAGTATATTAACCTTACATGTATTTTAGTTTTAATTTTTTGTTTAATACACTTTATCATGAAGCCAATACAATTCTCTTCGTTAGATACTTTCAATAAAGAATACCAGATGTTCAGCCATGAGAAGTGCTTAATGTGCATGTGTTGCAATACAATGAAACTCATTCTAAACGGAAAGTTAAATATTAGATACATCTTTGATATTGCTACGAATGAACATCACTCACTGTTCAGTTAAAGAAGAAAAGAATATATAATAAAACAGATTTAATGTTATATGACATCTTGAATAATTCATTCTAGAAAATATTAATTAATTGGTCTGTTTTGAGTATATTATATAATATTGTTTTATTTTTCTCTAGGATTTCAATGCGTCTGTAACTGGGCAACTAATATCATTGGAAAATCAGTGAAAATTAAACGTAATCGTTTATTTTCGTTTGAAACCTTCATATTATCATTAAAGAGCAATGATTTCATGTCACTAGATGGTTGGCCAGTAATCACGTTCACCACAGCTGGCCCTCCAGTAGCTGGACAACTTAAGGTTAGTACATAAAACTATTTATGAGTAGTTAATGTAATCATTAATAATTAAAATATATATTCAGAGTTGTTTAATATACATATATATATATGTAAGCGCTATATATAAGAGTAGGGAGTTGCGCCATTTGTATATTATTTATTGAAGTTTACACGTGATGTCGAATATCTGCACTGTTAATATTGTTGTTTGCTACAACAGAGTGCTATTATTTTTGAGTACGTTTTCTCTTTTACAGAGCTGCACAACTATTTCACCCCTTAAAAAAATCAGAGGTGCACACCAGCAAGATGCTTGTAGTTATTACTGACTTTGTAATAAAAGTCACCGTAGAGTCCTGGCTTTAGGAACTCTGCCTTGTCCACATTTGGTAATATTTGTACTAATTCTACTTGTTAATGACTATGAATCATTTTTGCTCGCATAAGGTTATACTCTCGTGAGACAGTAGGAATGTTCTTGATCTAGTCTAGGTGGATTGGCATGGCCATGTGGTTAGTGTGCTCGACTCCCACTCAGCGGGTCGCGGGTTCGAATCCCCGTCGCACTAAACATGCTCGCCCTTTCAGCCGTGAGGGCGTTATAATGTGGGGTCAATCTCACTATTCGTTGGTAAAAGAGTAGCCCAAGAGTTGGCGGTGGGTGGTAATGACTAGTTACATTCCCTCAAGTCTTGCACTACTAAATTAGAGACGGCCAGCGCAGATAGATCTCATGTAGCTTTGCGCAAAATTCCGAAGAAACCAATGTTCTCAGTTAAGTGTTTTGGTCGTTTGAGCACCAGGTGGCTGTCATGATAACTCTCAATTCTCTTGATACCTCATATGTGCCCTGTCTTTATAATGAACTTACTTTTATATAGTTTTTAATAGTCGAAAGAGAACTAAGCGTCCACCGTCATCCTTGACACACAGTCGACCACATGCTTAGTTGTAGACAAAGTGTACCTATTATATTTTTCATATCAATTTGATAACAGGTAAACAGTGTGCAACTTGAAATATATATCTGAAAATCAAGTTGAGAATAAAAATTTATCGTGGACTTACAACGTTAAAATCTATGGTTCGATTCTTTTCGATGGAAAGTGTACGTATAACCAATTGTGTAGCTTTGACTAAAACACAACAGAATAAAAACCATTAGGTAGTATGTGGCTTTCTTGACTTTAAAATGCATGTACACTAAAACCTGATTCCAAACAACTTATGGTGGCTAAAACCCAATCTGAATATTACAGGTTCGAATCCCTATCACTGAACTTGTTCGCCTGTTCAGAAGTGGGGCGTTATAAGTAATGGTCAATCCCACTATTCGTTTGTCACCTAGTAACCAAAGAGTTGGTGGTAGGTATAGTTGACTATATGCCTTTCCTCTAGTTTATCACTACTAACTTATGAACGGTTAGCGTAGATAGCCCTCGTGTAGTTTTGCGCGCAATTTAAAACAAAACAAACCAAATTAAATAAGCTAAATTTAACGGATCCTGATTGGATAAAATCTTTCTTGTTTTATATGTTGGTGTGAGCGTATACTTGAGGCAAATCTGACGATAATATAATGTGAGAATAGAGATATAATAGGATCGTTCATGTGATTATTTTTAAGCCAAGTCCCAGGAGAAAACAACTGTCATCATAATTCACTCATTGACTTATGTTGTGAAGGGACTACTTTAGACGCCTTAGTAACCGTTTCTCTCCACGTGTCTTTCTCTTGTGCGGCAACTAGTTGTTATTGTCCATTTTGCTATTTTGTCCTTGTCCAATTTTTTCCTTTTGTCTTCAACTTCCATTGCATAATGGTGTTAATCACATTGTTTTAACATGTCACAGGAGCATGAGTTTATGAAAACAGAGTTTTCTGGTTTTCATTTACATCTGTTATTTCCAAGTTGACAGACTTGTTGGTTCTGTAGCAACCATCTGTAGAGTTAGCATCTCAATTCAAAGTATCGCAGTTTTCCTCTGTCTCAGTTGTAAAAAATTATGGTTTCATCAATAAAGAACTGTTGACTGGATTGTTGCTATAAATTTCACTTATGACTGTATAAAGGTGTTTTTATCCTTCCAGATAATTCTAATTTTGTGACTGTTATGGTTTTGTAGGTTACTAATGGGTCTAATATTTTCTGTAATTGTTGTTTCTAGTATTTGAAAATCACCAGTCCAGCTCTTCCCCTCCAATCTTTATTTTAATATCTATGACATTGGTTGTTTTAATAACCATCTATTTTCTCTGCACTTATCTTCATTCCAAATGATCTATCTGTATTTTATAGTTTTGTTGTTAGTTCTGCTACTTCGTCTATTCCCGCTATCAGGTTATTCTCATATCATCAGTACATCAGCAAAGTGAAAGTTGAACACAGGATGACCTTTGGTAATAATTGGTAATAAACAGAAATGGAGATAGCAAACACCTCTGGTGCACTCCAACAATTATTTGGGAATCAGATTGATGATACAAAGATTCTTCTGTGACGTTAACAAGTGACCTGATGATGTAAAGGTTTCGTATGACTGTTCACCATTGTAGGTTTGTCTCATTTCTTTAAAAAAAATCTTTATTCAATGTTGTTGTTTTTTCTATTTTGTTTTAATATTTTGTATTCTATCATAAATTGGCTATCAATACCTTTCGTTTCACACAATTGGTCCATCATTGTATTTAATTTAATTATACGGAATTAATGTGCTTCGGATGTTGCAGCTATGAAATGAATGTTTTAATTGGATGTGTTCATAAGGACTACTCTGTTTTCTGATATACATACTTCAAGGTTTCAGAGCCAAGTTGCATATCACATGAAAAAAAAATGATTTCTTGAAAGCTTTTATTTTATGCATTTTATCAAATGTCGTCTTTTGTTTAGAAAGTACACCCAGTGTCGTCATCAACATATGACTAATAGGACCATATTTTACACTAAGAACTTCCTGGAATATTACTTGTATCACTTGATACATCTTTATACGTGAAATCACATTTCTCAAACTGACTATAATGAAGATGGAATAGCAATTATAGAAGATCAAAGTAAATTTAATTTCATAAAAAATAATGCATTAAACATTAAACAACTAATTACTCCTGAACACTTTAGCAAAATAACCATTATTTTACCATGACATCTTCGTCAGAGACTGACCTAGTATTACAACTGATTGTGTTAACCTAGAGAATAATTCGAGGCGAGCCATTAACAAAGCTGGTGAAATATTTCATTTTACTACAGTTGTCTTCGTTTGATATTAAATAAATGATTTGTTAATGCGTTCTACTTTCAAGTCGAATTTGCAAACATTAAAAGATAATTGAAACATTTATTTCTACTTTCCATTTTACTGATAGGTATTTCAGAAAAGTGTTTTTTTTTACTTTCTTAAAAACAAGGTCACAGCAAGGTCACGAAAAAAAAATCCCTATCAAACATGAGGATTTATTTTTCACACTATTTTTTGCTCTATAACTCAGTGGACATTTTCTACATATATGTCCACCGTGCCTCGTTTACAATTTTTTGGACAGTGTATAGAGAAAGGACCCATCCTTCCTCGTTTTGTATTTACGTTTTGGTTCCTTTCAAAGTCAGACAACATAAGCAAAAAAAAAAATGCTTTTGCACAAACGATGTCCACTGATAACGACGGACATACGTATACATTTCCGTATTTTTTTGAGAGCCGAATATGATCAACGCTGCATGGCGGAGGCATGCGCTCTACTGAGTGCCCCTCTGTAATTGTATTTATGTTGGTAATTAATTATAAAATAGAATTTTTAACAGAATGCCTAAAGATCATCTTCACAATAATGACGTAATTTTTGGGAGCATTTTACAATCGAAAGTTATCCTAGCACTTCTTAATGTAAGAATATTGTTTCCGATATTTGTTGTTTGAATGCATCATTTTCCACACATCCGACCATCATACGTATTTAAACGTAGCCCAAGAACACATTCTAATCGAAATTTTTAATTTTCACTGAAAATGAGAACAAAAATCATTTTCTGTTTGAAAGATGTTCAATTGAGCTTTTGTAAAATTCTTTTCCACGAGCTAGGGTGTTAGGAAGAGACACAAACTGTTGTGGGATAAAAGTCATGTTATTTCACCATTGTCAGTATACTTGTGAATGTTCTATGTATGTCTGTCATTAAAAATACTATTAGAACACGAATATGAACTATTCTGATGCTTAGAAATAGCAAACAATAACCTGAAACCTACAAATAATAATCTTAAATATAAGATTCTATTCATCCATATAATAGTATCCAAAATTACATGTACGATATGGAAATGGTTTCGGTGCAAGAAATACACTTTTTCAATGTATGTTCGAAGTAATATGGTGAAACAATATTCGTGTGAGCCTTTACAAAGTGCTCGAAATTGACCTTGTTTCAATACTACAATCGTCTGAACGACGTTTCTAGTACTTGTGTATGAAAGCAAATCATTCTAATATCATAGTAAATCGACAGACAACGATTTATATGCATAATTATGTGGTTTTATGTTGGGGAATATAGAACATATTACATATTTCGAAATAATATTAGTCTGTCTTCTAGTGCCTGGTTTACAATTTCTTGGACAGTGTAGAGGAAAAGGTCCCATCCTTCCTCGTTTTTTATTCATCTTTTGGTTCCTTTGAAACTCAGACAACATAATAAAAAAATGCTTTTGCACAAACTATTGTATTATAATTTTTAGAAATGCTAACAGTTTGTATAACGACAACTGGTATTTTTACCTTCTAGCCTATTCGATAACTTTGTTGTTGTAACTTGTATCTTAAAAAACGCACCAATTCTGCTGGTCCTTCTGTGGGACAGCGATAAATCTACGTACTTACAATGCTAAAATCCGTGATTCGATTTTGCGCTATAGACAAAGCAAATAGCCCAGTGTGGCTTTGCTAAAAATAACAAATTAACCATTCTGCTGAAGAAGTTGAGTGTTCTTATTTTGAAGGAAACAACAAATAGACATATTTATTCAATTTATAAAACAAATATCTATTTTAACTTTATTACCACCATTCAGTTCCCCGTGATTTGACATATTTATTACAACTTCAATAAAACAACCTAGAGCTTTCACAAACATAGGATACTGATTATGAGAGCCAGAGAGAAAATACAAAACATTTTGAGCATGTTCACTTGTAGAACGTTCGAGTGCAAATGTTTTGGTAAAACTTTTTAAAGTACATTTTTATTACATTTATTAGTTGTCAAACATTTTTCAAGACATAGATAGTTTAGAAACATCGGTTTCAAGTTATTTTAAAAACTCGGGTAAATTGCCCCACAGTGGCACAGCGGTATGTCTGCGGACTTACAACGCTTGAAACTGGGATTCGATTGTTTTGTTTACTTGTTTTGTAGTTATGCACGAGGCTACACAATGGGCTATCTGTGCTCTGCCCGCCACGGGTATCAAAACCCGGTTTCTAGCGTTGTAAGTCCGCAGACATACCGCTGTGCCACTTGGGGGCCCGGGATTCGATACCTGTGGTGGGCAGAGCACAGGTAGCCCATTGTATAGCTTTGTGCTTAACTACAAACAAACAATCTGGTGAATTATTAATTTTCTATTACAGTCATTTGTTTAAAATATTTAACTACCTTTTATACACACATGCGTATCATTATCGTGGAGTAATCTACAGAACGAAACTGACATCACACGCCACGTTTCTTTCATTTTAACATACTCTTGCTAGAAATAAGCCAGAAAACCTGGCATAATCCATCAATCAAATGTCACTTTTCTATGCACAACAATTAAAACTTTGCATTTGCTATGGTCGAAGATATGTTGTCGCTGTGCCTTAAGTAGTAGAGGAGGGTATATTACTAATGGTGTATTATTATTTGACACCAATAGCTGCTAACACCCGACTGTTATTATTATGCTAAACGTATTTGTGTATGTTGCATTGGTGCCTATCACTGAAATACCTTTTTTAATTTAGTTTTAGAATGCTTAATAGCTAATACTAACAGTAAAATATTTATTTAATATGTTTTATTTATCTATAACGTAATAGGTGAAACTCTCACCTAAATCTGTAAACTATGAGGAAAAACCAACGTATGCTACTTATAGCGGTATTGTAACATAGTATGTAATGTTTATATTACTGATGTAGCTGGCGACTCTAACAATAACTTATACCTCTGTTAAAGTGCTGTTATATATGATGTATTTAACGATGTCAATATCTGTGTTTTTACATATATTATGTTGAATTTATAACCAACTGTGTTCTAATATGTTAAAATGTCTTAAAATGTGGTGTATTAGGTATTCCGAACAGCTGATTGTACTCTAACATGTGAAGTTACTCTAGATGCCAGTGGTTGGAGGACCCACATAGATAGGTATCCATTGTCCTATCAGTTTGCTTATTCACAGTCTTTAATATGGAAAATGTACTTAGACACTCCTTCTTCCAAAGCTATCGTCCGAAATGTGAAGCTGCCTTGTGGTAAGTGTGGTTTGTTGAAACTGCAGCCAGAATTTCATATCTTTAGCTTACAGTGTACAACTGTTGAAAATTTACATAAAGATAAAAAACAAATCAGATATCAACAAGTTTTAAATCGTTCTTAATAGTGTTGTACATGTTTAACTTTAACACCTTGCTTGTATTTTTCTTTATGTTATAGCTAGTAATATTCATGCAATTTAGTTAAATTTATAGAAAAAAAACTGTTTTATAGTTAGATGGCTTCTTTAGACAAAAACAAAGCATTTATTAAATGCAAAAAAGTTTCAGATTAACGGCACCTAGTGACAAAGCAATATAAAACATTCATAGTGTTTTTGAAAATGAAATAATTATGGATATTTACTCTCAATCTGATAGACTTCATGCTGTCATGTTTAGTTAGCGTTAATGTTTGCATAGTATAAGTGTTGAAGTGTATAAACCTCCGTTGAAAAAATTATACTTTTAAGAACAACATTTTCTTCAAAGAAGCGAGTCTCAAATCGGTTTAGAATAAACGAGCTTACAATTTTCAAAAAAGTTGTCTAGTTATTCTTGAATTAAATGATAAACAACAAAACGAATCTCATTACTTTCTGGTTCATCTTAGTTGTTTTTTGTTGTTGTTCAACAGTAATTCTATCTCAAAGTGACCCGAAATAAGAATAAGAGCTCAATACCTTATGTAATGTGTGTATATGTAATATTATATATATATAGAGTTATTGTACATAAAATACACATAACAGTTAAAGCATAACACATTTCTATATTATATCTATAACAAAGTAAAAACCACTGCATAAAATAATGCTAATTTCTCCCTCAGTTCATTATTGTAAATCGGGCATCTGGTGATCAGCCGGCTAATCTGATATTCGAATTACACAAGCCTGGGAATTTATACTTCATAAAATTTGTTTTGGTTCTAATAACGAATTTTCCATAATTCAGCTACGCAGAATTCGAAAATATTCTTTTTTTTTTTGAATCACGTAAGGATTTTTTACAAATCGGGAAGAAAAATAAACTTACTTAGATCAAATTATTTCGTTTACCACCGTGAAAGTTTTTTTTGTTATGTTTGTTAACAAAAATACAAACAATCTGAAGAAAAGGAAAAAACATTGATGTAAAATATCGAGTAATAAAGAAAGTTTTTTTTTACTGGAATTTTTGGGATAAAATAAAGAAATAGTGTATTATATTTTTATTGATATTATTAGTTTATAATAATATATTTTAAGGATATTACATAGGTATTCCTTGGTTTAATACTTAATATATTGAATACTAGAGAATGTACCCGCACCCTGGATGGAAATTACGTAAATAAATTCATGATTAATAAAATGTTATCTTAGGACATGAAAAGTTGATTCCCTTATATCTAATTGTAAGAAACGCAAAAACGCTCATAAAACCTGGAGAACACAAAATGTGAAACCGCAAGTTTGCATATATCTCCGCATGGACCCAACACACTTTCATGGCAATTTTGGTGAAGATCTATTAAAGTGGGCGAAGTAGTAATAAAAAATGCAAAATTGAAAATTTGTATGTATTATTCGCATTGACTTAATGAACCTCCATACTAATTTGGCTGAATATCCATCCACACCCTGCGAAATAGTTACAGTGACATACAACAGACAGTACTATTATATTTATATAGATCACGTTTGATACAGATTGTTTAGTGTAACACTTGTAACATTTTAAGTGAGTGTTGTTAGTTAAATTATAACTAACTCATTGTGTATATTTTAATCTAATTGTTTATGGTATTATGATTTTTGTCAGTTGTCATTGGGGAGGGTTTATTAGTTGGTACGTTTTGAAGAAGGGTGTTGTTAGGTTCTGCTGGGTGTAATACTCGTTATTTCGGTGTGAACATTGTTAGCTCTAATAAAGTCATTGAACTCATTTATCAACATTATTAATGAAATTACTTTGACAGTAATTCTTGCTGTTTCTACCTTTGTTAAGTTAAGTAAATAAGTTTTATTTGTAAAAGTAACTAATATGGTGATAAATATTCAAAAACACAAATGTTTTCCGTTACACGTGAATGTTATTTACTTTGATGGTTATCGTGATGAGACTGGTATCAGTGAGTTCAGAATTTACACATATGGTTCACGAACAATCCGATATATTTAACCTATCCTTTCAAATGCATGTTTTGTAAAAGGATTGATTTTTACTTTAGGAATCTCAAAAGTGACTGTTGCTGTATGTGATGCGTTCGGTTTCTGCAGTCATGCTGATCAGACAATATACCTGCCTTGTAGTGTACCTGAAACAGCGGTGTTGCTTACTGCGGTAGAGAAACTGCTAAGTTCTGGTATGTATAAGTTTCAATGTTGTGTGATGTGAGATTCCACTGATTTATATTTCTACTAGCTGAATTACCCGGCGTTGTAAGGTGAAAATCTAGATTTGAAATGTATAGATCAGTATTTTTTCAGCAAATTATTCAGTAAGTAAACAAAAGCTGTGATGCGAGAAATAAAAAAGCATTTAATCAAACAAAGCTTTATTTGAAATTAGATCG